TTCAAGTCAGTTTGGCCAGACGATTACCTGCTAATCTTAAAGGATTACTTTGCCTACAAGTTACATTTAATTTATAGATGGAGCCTGATAGGCTGAGTTAGCCTCTGACTTTCTGTATGTCCTGGATATTCCAAAACCAATGATATATCCACTGAAATTAGATCATTTTAGGGCAGCACAGTGGCTAAGTAGGGCAGCACAGTGGCTAAGTGGTTAGCACTCCCGCCTGAAAGTACTTTGAATCCCAACCACGGCACCACCTGCCTGGAGTTTGCATGTTCTCCCTGTGCCTGCATGGGGTTTCCTTCCACACTCAAAAGACATGCTGGGAGGTTAAATGGCTCCAACTGGCCCTAGTATGTGTATGTATGAATGTAAGTTAGGGACCTTAGATTGTACGCCCCTTGAAGGTTAGGGACTGATGTGAATGTACAATATATATGTAAAGTGCTGCATAAATTGACGGCGCTATATAAGTACCTGAAATAAATACATTTTGGTATGGGTGGAGGTTGGTGGGTTGAGTCTGCCCCTGGCTTCTTATATGTCCTAGATATTCCAAAATCTTTCTGCCACAATTCCTGTTCTGTTCCTATCTACTGAAAATTTTGGGTGTTCCCATTCACCTTTGCGTGTTCTAGCTCCTCCTTTAACATTCTTCCCACTGAGATCAACAACAGGGCAAAATTCCTAAAACTGATACCAACAATAGGGCACTATTCCTACCATTGATCCTTCCACTGACACCAATGATGGGGCACTATTCCTCCCACTGACACCAATGATGGGGCACTATTCTCCCACTGACACCAATGGCAGGGCACTATTTCCCACACCGATACCAATGATGGGGCACTATTCCTTCCCCCGATACCAATAGTGGAGCAATGTTCCTCCCACTAATACCAATAATGAGACATTATTTACTCCCATTGACACCAAGGTATTTTCTTCTCCCACTGACCACAGTCCAGCCCACTCAAAATCTGAAGGACAGTAAATTGGCCCATTGTTTAGAAAGTTTGAAAATCCCTGGTCTAAATGATTGTCAGAAAATTGTATTTCTATATATGTTCTGGGCATTCTGCTCAGACAGCATTACAGCAAAAGCATCAAGGAACTAGGAACGATTTTTGCTATGGAGTCAATAGGATGCGATTTTTGCTATGGAGTCAATAGGACACGATTTTTGCCTTGAAGTCAATAGGGGGCGTTTTTTACATTGAAATCAATGGGACAAGATTTTGCATTTGAGCCAATGAGCACAATTTTGCATTGAAGTCAATAGGACATGATTTTTGCATTGAAGTCATAGGGGGTGTTTTTGCACAGGAGTCAATGAGACGCGATTTTGCATTGCAAAGCACTTTTTTTCTTCTATCTGCACAGATACCCTATTTTCGGTCGATAGACTATTTTCGGTGGCTGATATATCGGTACATCACTAGGAGACGTCGTCAATGGCAGCTTTCATGAGCCTCCCATCATCATTTTCCAAGAATAAGGAGGATACATGGTTACCTTTTTAGCACCGGCCTCTATAATTAGTCTTGTGCCAAAGTTTTGTATATGTATTTTTTTATTTTTAGAGACGTTTCTGAGAACAAACCTAGTCATTGAGCAGCCATAAAAATGTTGGTGGTTCTATTATTATTTGATGTTGCTGGGGTATGGCTAAATATTGCAGCGTGATTCTGGGATTGCAGCCAATTACGGATTCCCATTGATGCTGATGGGCACCAGGGAAGGCAAGACACTTTTAGGAGAGCAAGGCAATATAACCGACTTCTGTAAACTTGGGGATTGAAACAACAGAAGCCTGTAATTTGAAGTTCTGTACCCACACTGTATAGCGCACATGGTTGCACTTTGCAAGACTATGGAACTCGTTGTGTCTAATTTGAAGGTTGGCCATGCCTTGATACCTGAGGGCAACATGTTTCATGGTTAATTTTCGCGAGAACTCTGCAAACTAAACATGCTTGTAAAAGCTGACAGTATGGGTTTAATTAAGAAGGCAATTATAGAGAACATTGACAAGTAAGAGTTTGTTAAAGAGCAACTCCAGAAAGCAAGCAAAATTAATCATTGAACCGCTAACTATAAGTAGAAGGAACTTCAACTGTATTAAAATAGACAAAAAAAATGACCTAAAGCAAATTTATTTTACTACAGGTACTTGACGTAGCGCTTTACATATATATTGTACATTCAGTCCCTAACCCTCAAGGGGTGTACAATCTAAGGTCCCTAACTTACATTCATACATACACATACTAGGGCCAATTTAGACAGGATCCAAATAACCTACCAGCATGTCTTTGGAGTGTAGGAGGAAACCAGCGTGCCCGGAAGAAACCCACGCAGGCACAGGGAGAACATGCAAACTCCAAGCAGGTGGTGCTGAGGTTGGGATTCAGAACCAACAACCCTAGTACTGCCAGGAGGAAGGGCTAACCATTTAGCCACTGTGCTGCCAACACAGTCACACAACAGCAGTTGTGGCACTTGGGCACAGACCGGATAGGTAGCCCAACAGCCAAGTAAAGAAGTATGCAGGGCAGGCTGACAACGCTGCTACAAAGTGCAAAGTGGTTTACTGTTGTCAGCCTTCAACAGGAAGTCATGTTACTGGTAGGATCTCCAGGGCTTTGCTACAGAGAAAATGATATACAATGGGGATATATACCAGACATACTAAAAGATAGATTTTGGATTTGCATACACTTTAATTACTTAAGATAGCCTAGCGAAGCCAAGACCCAATTAGGTGCTAATGGGTACCATTGACTTCCCAATCCAGCTCTGCAGGAAAGGGCAAGGACAGTGAGAGGGCGGAGCAGGCATGTGCCCCGGGCACTATGCTGCGGATCTGGCCCCCTCCTGGTCCTCACTGACTGCTGTGACTGCAGCGTCACGCCTGTCAGAAGGAGCAGCAACCAATGGCTGGTGGATGGAGAATTAGGCTTTCTCCTCCCTACAGCTTGCAGGAGGCAAAAGAGAGTCGGCATTGAGACTGAGTCTCAGTGCAGCGCCGCTGAAGAATGAGGGCAGACTGTCCTTCTACCTCACTCTCCTGACATGTGACTTACCACATGACTAGAGAGGGTAAGGAAAAGCTGCCTTTATTCCAGATTGTGTGATCTGTGAGTACAAAGTAAGGGGGAGATTCAGCCTTAGACCTCCTTTCTCCTTCTCAGACCCCCAAGAACATACAAAAAAAATTGCACGTATCCCTGCAACGCATAAAAGCACACATCCCATATGCAGGTGCACAACAGTGCCATTAATTCTTCACTCACCTTGCTAACGTTCACTCTTTCGCGCTCATTTACCTGCGGCAAAATGCATGGTCACAAAGTACCATTCGTTTTGGTGTGGCTCAGTTTTTAAAAAGGCTCATGCACTTGTTTTGTGAATTTTTTTATGCAGAGGGCAGCCCATGGAAATGAACAGGTGTGAACAGAACCTTAGGGTTAGCTTTCAGTAGCCCATTTTCATTGGATCACTTTTCAGAGGCCATTTGACAGGCAGTGAAGATGCATTAAGTTACCTTCTCACTGCCTATTTTAACCCCCTAAAATCCTGCCCCACCACACCAAAACTACATGTATTGCAAATGATTGAAGGGTGGTTAAAGCTCACTCCCATTCACTTGTATGGGTCACTTGCATGGGTCACATTCAGTGGGGGGTGCTGCCCGCCAAATATGATGGAGGATGATTTTTGCTGTGCATGTGTATACCCCCATAGAGCTGCCTTTGCATCTCGAGGGCAGTTGATAGGCATTAAAAACACGACTCACTCGAGTCGATGGCAGCTTTAACCACTTCAAGTCCAGACACTTTTACCCCTTCCTGCCCAGGCCAATTTTCAGCTTTCAGTGCCGTCGCACTTTGAGTAACAGTTGCCCAGTCATGCAACACTGTACTCATATGAAGTTTTTTATAAATTTTTGTCACACAAATAGAGCTTTTATTTGGTGGTATTTGATCACCACTATTTTTTTTTATTTTTTGTTATATAAATGAAAAAAAATACGAAAAAATTAAAAAAAAACATTTTTTAGCTTAGTTTTTGAAAATAAATAAATTCATAAATTTAGCCCAAAATGAATTCGTCTAAATTCTGGGGGTAAAAATAACCCAAAACAGTGTATATTATTTAGTCTGTGTGAAAGTTATAGAGTTAACAAACTATATATATATAAGAGGATATATATCTGAAAATGTATCAGTTGAGACCCTAATATGCCGGGCGCTGGTATGGGGTATGGCAGTGATCAGGACATTGGTATGGGGTATTGCAGTGATCAGTACACTGGTATGGGGTATTGCAGTGATCAGGACACTGGTATGGGGTATGGCAGTGATCAGGACACTGGTATGGGGTATGGCAGTGATCAGGACATTGGTATGGGGTATTGCAGTGATCAGGACACAGGTATGGGGTATGGCAGTGATCAGGACACTGGTATGGGGTATGGCGGTGATCAGGACATTGGTATGGGGTATGGCAGAGATCAGGACGCTGGTATAGGGTATGCCAGAGATCAGGAAGCTGGTTTGGGGTATATCAGTGATCAGGACGCTGGTATGGGGTATGGCAGTGATCAGGACGCTGGTATGGGGTATGGCAGTGATCAGGACGCTGATATGGGGTATGGCAGAGATCAGGACGCTGGTATGGGGTATGGCAGTGATCAGGACGCTGGTATGGGGTATGGCAGTGATCAGGACGCTGGTATGGGGTATGGCAGAGATCAGGAAGATGGTTTGGGGTATGGCAGTGATCAGGACGCTGATATGGGGTATGGCAGAGATCAGAAAGCTGGTTTGGGGTATGGGCAGTGATCAGGACACTGGTATGGGGTTTGGCAGTGATCAGGATGCTGGATCAGGATGCTGGATATGGGGTATGGCAGAGATCAGGAAGCTGGTTTGGGGTATGGCAGTGATCAGGACGCTGATATGGGGTATGGCAGAGATCAGAAGCTGGTTTGGGGTATGGCAGTGATCAGGACACTGGTATGGGGTTTGGCAGTGATCAGGATGCTGGTATGGGGTATGTCAGCGATTAGGACACTGGTAAGGGATATGGCGGTTATCAGGACGCTGGTATGGGGTATGGTGGTGATCAGGATCCTGGTATGTGGTATGGCGGTGATCAGGACTCTGGTGTGGGGTATAGTGGTGAATAGGACGCTGGTATGGGCTATGGTGGTGATAAGGACGCTGGTATGGCATATGGGGTGATAAGGACACTGGTATGGGCTATGGGTGGTGATAAGGACGCTGGTATGGCATATGGGGTGATAAGGACACTGGTATGGCATATGGGGTGATAAGGACACTGGTATGGCATATGGGTGATAAGGATGCTGGTATGGGCTATGGCGGTGATAAGGATGCTGGTATGGCATATGGGGTGATAAGGACGCTGGTATGGGCTATGGCGGTGATAAGGATGCTGGTATGGCATATGGGGTGATAAGGACGCTGGTATGGGCTATGGCGGTGATAAGGACGCTGGTATGGCATATGGGGTGATAAGGACACTGGTATGGCATATGGGGTGATAAGGACACTGGTATGGCATATGGGGTGATCAGGACTTCTTGTGCTGTAGCATCATCTTTCAAATTTGAGCTACTCTGAGTTCCTTGCACTAGATTTTAAAGGTCTACTTATATAGTGTGGTCCCCCTCCACCATTACAAAACCCCCTTCCTTCACATGTGAAGGAAAAAGTTAGTTAAAGTGCAACTTTAGGCAGAAAAAGAAAAATGGTAAACAGGCTGCCATATCAATTCAGAAGACATATGCTTTGTCTTTTCTGCATTGAAGTTACTTACCTACCTGTCCACCCCTGTAGAGTGAGGCACGCAATGACAGCAGCCAGCGATCGAGACCAGGAATCCGGCCACTGAAGATGCCAGTGGCTGAGCTGTAAGCAGCGGGATGCCACCTTCCTGGAGCAGAGGTCAGTATACTGTAGTTCTGCTTTAATAAAATTAATACACTTACCTCACCTCCACTTCAGGCCGTGACATGTAGACAAGGGTAAGGTCACCTTCCTTCTGCTGTAGCATCATTTTGAGAGATTTGAGCTACTCTGCATTTCCAGGGATCTTGTCAGAAGCGTAATGTCACCCACTGCAGAAACTGTGGGAAAGTAAAACTATTACCTACCAATAAAAAGCAAGGTATGTTCTGCAGCACCTAATTATGAGTGCGTCTGTGTTAAAGTTTTCTCTCAGTCCTCTTCAGAGTCCCACAAAGACCTGTTGATTCTGCCAGTGAAGTCCCAAAAACGCAACTTCCTGTGGCGGTGGGGCAACCATGCTGCACTGCTTGAGCTGGGAGTTGCCACTCCCATGTAGGCTGTGGGGTATGGAAAGGCCCAGGCAGTAGGCACCCAGGGGGAAGGCATGGCACACCCAGTGGTTGAAAACGTGAAATATTACTGTCAAAATGTTCCAGATACAATAACAGAGTCTTTCCAAAAGTATGGAAGAAGCGGCCATACTCTCAGCAGTATGCGGGACTTGCAGAAAGAGAGAGAGAGCATGATGCACAGCGGCTGGCAGCACATGGAGCAGAGAGTGGCTGGGAGGCAGATGCAGCAAACATAAGTAGCAGATAATCCCTATGCTGTCCCTCCTCCTCTGGGAACCTTTCCCTACACTAGGCACACTCTTCCTGACAGATGGATTCTGGTCCCTGATCTAGCCACATGCAGAATGCGTGCTAACTATAATGAGCCAGGGATTTTTGTAAGGTTTGCCCTCACTAAAGACTGTCGCAGAAGTCACCCGATTGGCTGCATCCAACTGGACAGCAGCCCACCCAATGACACGCATGGAGACCTAAGAGGAATGGGTATTCCTTGTGTCCTCCACCTTCCCTGCAAGGTGGATGCAACAGCGCCACCTGTGCATGCAGTACCGGCCTACATGTGCCTGCATGCACTACAGTGGGATGGGAAGATATTGCAGAGGCGTGTCTATCAGCACTGACTACTAATTTATAGACCTGTAGCTTGTTAATCAGCATCTGACCACACCCTGCCCTGCCCATTGTTTTATGGATTGCAAGTACTGCCTCTGTTGCAGAAACCCTCCTACTGTCAGCTGCAGTGTCTGGGAAGGGGAGCGTATGAGGGTATGGCAGTGGGGCACAAATGATTTGGCTCATTCAGTGAAGGCAAAAGAAGTTTTTAATTACTTTATGAGGTTCTCTGCATCACATAGTAACTGGATTTGGAACTTGTTTGGGCTGTTATATAGAAGTCTTTGCTTTTATCCTAATTTCATTTCCCCCAGTTCTGAGATGGAGAAATGGTCCTCACTAAATAAGCAGACCTTGAATGGAGTGAAAAGAAAGTGGAGTATTTTATACTTTTTGGGTTGGTTCATGTAGTAGGTCCTGCCATATGATATTGCACCCGGGACAGCTGACCCTCGCCCTAGTTATATTCCTGACTCGAGGTGTACTGAACTGCATCCTAAATGTTTGCTCATAAAAATATGCAAACTGATTCACAAAATGGGTGAACTTTTGCAAACCATGATCCTTTGGTCAGTCACAATTTTTCTAGCACATGTCATTCTCACCTGAGGCTAGGACTGAGGAAGTCAGTGAGGGAACCTGTCAAAAAAAGGTGGGCCAGCCTTGAAAAAAACAAAATCTGCAAATGTATTAGAGGCTGAAGGAAAGAAGAGGATGAGCTGCACTTTTTTAGGTGAAGATCTGCTTTATAGTATAATCTCCCAGTAGTAGCTGTATCACTATATACAGTGAGGAACAGAAGTATTTGAACACCCTGCGATTTTGCAAGTTCTCCCACTTAGAAATCATGGAGGGGTCTGAAATTCACATTGTAGGTGTATTCCCACTCTGAGAGACAGAATTAAAAAAAAAATTCAGGAAATCATATTGTATGATTTTTAAAGAATTTATTTGTCTTGCACTGCTGAACATAAGTATTTGAACACCTGAGAAACAGCAAGAATTCTGGCTCTCAAAGACCTGTTACTGTGCCTTTAAAAAGTCCACCTCTACTCCGCTCATTAATCTAACTTAGTAGCACCTGTCTGAGCTCTTTAAAGACACCTGTCCACCCCACAGTCAGTCAGACGCCAACTACTACCATGGGCAAGACCAAAGAGCTGTCAAAAGACACCAGAGACAAAATTGTGGATCTCCACAAGGCTGGAAAGGGCTACGGGGCAATTGCCAAGCAGCTTGGTGAAAATAGATCAACTGTTGGAGCAATTGTTAGAAAATGGAAGAGGCTAAAGACGATTGTCAGTCTCCCTCGGACTGGGGCTCCATGCAAGATCTCACCTTGTGGGGTATCACTGATGATAAGAAAGGTGAGGAATCAGCCCAGAACTACAAGGGAGGAGCTGGTCAATGACATGAAGAGAGCTGGGACCACAGTTTCAAAGGTCACTGTCGGTAGAACACTACGCCGTCATGGTTTCAAATCATGCATTGCACGGAAGGTTTCCCCTGCTCAAGTCATCACATGTCCAGGCCTATCTGAAGTTTGCCAATGACCATCTGGATGATCCAGAGGAGGCATGGGAGAAAGTCATGTGGTCAGATGAGACCAAAGTAGAACTTTTTGGTCTAAACTTTACTCGTCGTGTTTGGAGAAAAAGAAGGATGAGTTGCATCCCAAGAACACCATCCCTACTGTGAAGCATGGGGGGTGGTAACATCATGCTTTGGGGGTGCTTTTCTGCGAAGGGGACAGGACGACTGCACTGTATTAAGGAGAGGATGAATGGGGCCATTTATTGTGAGATTTTGAGCAACAACCTCCTTCCCTCAGTCAGAGCATTGAAGATGGGTCGTGGCTGGGTCTTCCAACATGACAACGACCCGAAGCACACAGCCAGATAACCAAGGAGTGGCTCCGTAAGAAGCATATCAAGGTTCTGGAGTGGCCTGGCCAGTCTTCACACCTAAATCCAATAGAACATCTTTGGAGGGAGCTGAAACTCTGTGTTGCTCAGCGACAGCCCTGAAACCTGACAGATCTAGAGGAGATCTGTGTGGAGGAGTGGGCCAAAATCCCTGTTGCAGTGTGTGCAAACCTGGTCAAGAACTACAGGAAACGTTTGACCTCTGTAATTGCAAACAAAGGCTTCTGTACCAAATATTAACACTGATTTTCTCAGGTGTTCAAATCCTTATGTTCAGCAGTGCAAGACAAATACTACATTCTTTAAAAAATCATACAATGTGATTTCCTGAATTTTGTTTTTAAATTCTGTCTTCAGAGTGGGAATGCACCTACAATGTGAATTTCAGACCCCTCCATGATTTCTAAGTGGGAGAACTTGCAAAATGGAAGGGTGTTCAAATACTTCTGTTCCTCACTGTATACTATACTTCCAAACAACTCCTGAGATAAAATCCCAAGGTGAGCAAATGATAGCAGAAGACAACACATAAATGATCAATCTGATCTCTTGAGAATGATGGAGAGGTTGTCCACCCATTCTCTGCACCTCTGGAACCTCTAATGCCAGGGTTCTAAAAGCGGAATTTGAAATGACCAGTTGAAAAAGCATACACACGTGTGGTAATGAAAATCTACAAAATGTTCATCAAACAGCCTGATCCCGGCCTGAGGGTCATATGGGGCTAAAACTAGACTGTTTATGGATGGCCCATGCCTGCCCATGAAATTGTGGCACTCATACATGACCCTTCTATGGTGCACACATACATGACAAACCTATTAGGGGGTGTATTTAGGAATTAATTATCTCTTCCCACCAATGACGGCCTTCTGGCATTTTTGACACATAGACATGAGATTGCTGACCAATTGGCTGTATTTGGTCTTATCTGGCCAGCACCTGTGGGTACCTGTAGTTACATAATGTACACTGATCAAGCAGTTGGAGAAGACCAACGGAAACAGTAAAGCACAATCGATGTCTAGAAACACTAAGTAGAGCCTGCATATGACATGAGCAGATATGGCTGCTTCTTTTTTTCAATGCTAAAAAGAGACACAGTTTTAACAGTTTCACACAGCTTTTAAGATACTGATGGTGATCACAAACACATATACTAAGACCACTTATCCCCTTTAAAGGGTAAGTCCACCCAAAAGTGACTTTTTAGTGTAAGATGTAGTATAGTGCACCCCCAGACTTCTTAAGTGTCTTGAATACTCCAACAGTGAGATCTCCATGGTATAATTCCCAACTCTGTTCCTGTCCATCTAGGCACAGCAGGTGTTTAGACCCAGGAATTTGGCGCTCACCAACATGTGTAACTCTCCAGCATTTACCAAACTCGAAATGTCA